CGAGGGTCAGCTCAGCTCTTCTGGGAGCACGAGGGTCAGCTCAGCTCTTCTGGGAGCACGAGGGTCAGCTCAGCTCTGTACTGGAGGACGAGGGTCAGCTCTGCTCTGTACTGGGGGACGAGGGTCAGCTCAGCTCTGTACTGGAGGACAAGGGTCAGCTCAGCTCTGTACTGGGGGATGAGGGTCAGCTTTGCTCTGTACTGGGGGATGAGGGTCAGCTCGGCTCTGTACTGGGAGGACAAGGGTCAGCTCTGCTCTATGGGGGAGAAGGTTCGGCTGGCTCACCTCCATGTGAGAAGAAGTGGGGGAGCTTTGCTGGGGAGTGGGCTGGGGGACAGTTCAACTCTGCCAGGAGAGGGGGAATAGCCCAGTTCAGTGGGGAGAGGGCCAGCTGAGGGGGGAAGAGCTCTGCTCTGGGAGGATGGGGACAGCTCCTGAGCTGGTTTGATGGCAGTGGCACACGCCCCTGCCTGAAGAGACAGCTCCAGGGATCCAGAGAGCCTGGGTTTGTGGATCAAGTTCCCTCGCACCTTCATGGGTCAGGCTTCAGAAGGGGAAACCAAGACCCACCTGTGGCAGGTGCTGGCCCAAAGTCACTGAACACAGCACCCAGACACAGCCCAGCCTCACGCCCAGAACCCCTCCTCGCCCCACCCTGGGTGCGCCTCTCACCGTGCTCCAGGCCACAGCTGCCCCCCTTGGTCTCAGGCCCCGGGGGTGGCTCCGGGGGCAGTGCGAGGGCAAACTCCGGCTTGAGGCCATTGGGCAGCGGTGGCCCTGATGGAGGCGACTCCAGCTGTGGCTGAGGCTCAGATGCCCCTGGGTCCTGGGTGCTGATGGCCTCAGCTGGTGACTGGGAGGGTGAAGCGAGTGGGGAGGGGGAGGGGGAGGCAGGGGAAGAGGAGAGGACTGGGGAGGAGGGGTTCGGAGGTGGGGAGGCGGGAGGCTCTGCCTTCTCAGGTGGACTCTCCACCCGGGTCACCACAAACACCTTGTGGCCCCGGCCTGGGCTGGACACAGAAATTCGCTGTTCTGTGGGAGAAGTGGGGCTGCCCGAGGGGGTCCTGTCCCCAAGGCCCCGGGAGTCCGTGGGGGGCACCAGGATGGGGCAGGGAGCAGAGGGGCTCTGGCCATCGGGGGTCTCATCGTGCTGCCCGTCCTCCTCCTCCTCCTCATCGTCCCCCTCAGAGTCTGAGTCCGAGTCGGGCCCGGGCTCCGTGGGCTCCGGCACCCCGTTCTCCTGGGCCTCGGCGGCGGGCTCCTCTGCAGGGCTGGCGGGTTCCTCCCCGGACTCGCCGGGCTGCGGCTCGGTGACGGTGATCTCGGGCATGGAGGCTGACAGCTGCAGCCGCTGCTCCTTCTCCTCCTGCTCCCGCGCCAGCACGAAGTTACGCTTGCAGCCGTTCTGGATCTCGGCCAGCAGGGCCTTCTGTGTCTCGATGAAGCTCTTCACCTGCGGGCAGGGGACGGGCCTGGCTAGCAGCCTGGCCGGGGCAGGGCCGGGAGTGCCCCTGGGCTGCCTCCCCGCTCAGGGAGCCCACTCACCGCCTCCTTCTTGGGCTCGCGGTCCAGGTCCAGGCGCAGCAGGGAGTGGTTCACCTTGAGAGCCAAGGACAGCGCCATGAGTCCACCGGTTTTGATCTCGTTCTCCCGCAGGTCCAGTCTCAGGAGGCGGGGGCTCTCGGCGATGAACTCTGCCACGGCCACTGCACCTGGGGGGATGGCAGGGCTGGCCATGGGCCCCACTCGGGCCTGCCGCTCCCACCCAGCCTGGGGCCACCTGCCCCTGCCCCTCACCCTCGCATGTGAGCTTGGTGGAGGCCAAGCCCAGGCGCAGCACGCTGCGGTTGCCGATGAGGCCGTTCTTGAGGTTCCGCACGCCCTCATTCCCAATGGGGTTGTGGCCCAGGTTCAGTGTCTCCAGGCTCTGCGTGTGTGGCTGGGAGGGAAGGGATGTGGACAGGAGACAAGTGAGGGGACCCAATGGTGGTGAAAGACCCAGAAGAGCAAGTTCAAGAATACAAAGAAGCCCGCATGTGGTTCCTTCCCCTCAGCTGGGCTGTTGGGTACAAGAGAGGCGGGTGGGCGTCCTGGCCTTGGGTCTGCCAAGACCTTTATGTGTGCTTAAAAGTGTCCCCCAGGATCCCCAAGATAGGCTTGTATCCACAACCCCTGCCTCACACTGGCTTCTCACTGAGGCCTAACCCATGACCCTAAATAGCCATTTAACCTTCACCACTAAAACATATTTCAAAAAGAAAAGTTTCTTTTCTCCAAGAGATACACAGAACACAGCAGGATGAAGTCCGCACAGGCTGAAGGGGACTGTTGGGTGACAGCGGGAGGGGAACACATGGGAGCCGCCATGGACACAGGTCGGGGGTGGGGGTGGACTCACCAGTGTCATGCCCAGGAAGGCCATGCCTGTGTGTGTGAGCTGGTTGTTCCACAGCACCAGGGTTGCCAGCCCTTTCCTTTGCTCCTTGAGACCCTCACAGATGTAGGCCAGGCCTAGGGGACACACCTGGTCAGGCCCCACAAATCTCACCTGGAGTGTCTCTGAGAGACAGTTTTATTAGGGTGACCAATCAGAATGCAGAGACAGATGGTGGTTTGGCTCCATCCTGCTCTCCAGCCTTGGAGGCAGGCACACGTGGCGGAACCCCCAGCAGGGAACGTGCCTCCCCACAGCCTTGGCTCTCAGCTCAGCCTCCCCTCGGGGAGCAGCCCTCAGAGCCACGTCAGTTTCTCGTTCCCCTGACCATCCACACGCATCTCCTGACAGCTCGAGCACTGAGCATGTGTGTTTTGGCCACAGCAAAGGGACCGACAGACAGAGGTGAGTCTCCCTGCAGCCCTGAGGTGGTGCTGAGCTCGGACCTGCAGAGGGCACGTTTAGTTTGCATCTGTGGCTGCAAAGTGACAAAGCTGGTGTCCAGGCCTGGCCACTGGGGGCACACAGGGCACTCTAGTCAGCGTGGTCTTCAAGCAAACACCTCAAAACACCACTCAAAACCCAGATCCCTTTCACCTCGCTCAGGGTGACAAGGACCCACTGACCTGGACCCCATGACTCCCCCAAAATACCAATCACCCAAGCTTTCCCACCTCAAGGCCTTTGCACTTGCTGTTCCCTCTGACAGGATTCTTTCCCTGAGCCTGTCAAGGGTCTGGTTCTGTTCCTACCCTCCAGATCTCTGCACCCCCACTCTGGCCATTAGCCTAACTGTAACCCCTTCCTTAAGAGCACTTTGCATATAATTATCCCAGTTAGCTAGTCAATCTCTCACCTCTTCCTCCAGGAAGTCCTCCCTGACCACCAGCCTGAGTGAACTGCACTCCCTGGGTTCCTGCCACTCCTGCCCTGACCACTGTGGGACAGACTCAATGAGCCCCATAAAGGGACAGCCAGGCTGTCATGGTCTCCACTCTGGCCCCAGCACTGCCCAGGCGAGAACGGAGCTGGTGCAGGTGTGGGGCGGGCTGGCACCCACCTGAGTCCAGCACGTGGTTGTTGCGGAGGTCCAGGATCTGCAGGGAGCAGTTGAACTTGAGCAGGTTGCCCAGCTGTGCCGAGTCCTGCAGGCCGTTGAGCTTGTTGTCGGCCAGGTAGAGCTCCCGCAGATTCATGTTCATCTTCAGGGCAGTGGCTGCAAGGGGGTGGTGGTGATGACTGGGCAGGCCACACCCAGAGGCCCTGCCCGGGGCCCCGGCCCAGTGCACACCCTCGGGGGCTCACCGAGCAGCATGAGGGGCCGGCCCGTAAGGCAGGCGTTCTCCAGGTGCAGCACGGCTAGGCTGCTGCGGATGCGCAGGGCACGAGCCACGAAGGGTGCCGAGTGGTCCAGCAGCGGCGTGTTGCGGGCGTCCAGATACTGCAGGCAGCTCGTCTGGGGCAGCACAAAGAGTGAGTGGAGTCAGACCGGGTCCCAGCCCACTATCAGGCCACAGGTGTCACCTGGGTTTCCAGCAGGGGACACTGGTGAGGGGAAGACCCCAGAGTGAGGGGCCTGTGGGTATGAGGCCAGCCCCACCTTCTCCCAGGCCTGGCAGCTCTTGAAAGGTGACAGGCATGTGGAGGAGGAGGGAGCCTTGTTGGGAGGGAAGTAAGAGGAAGGACCTGGGGGGTGGCAGCCCGTCTCGCCATGGAAGTGAACAGGCAGAGAACAGCTCCCTGTCTTAATTCACTGCTGCCCACAGCAGGCCCTGAAGCCCACACCCTGACGCTCAGGTGATGGGACCTGAGGACTGGGGGGCTCTAGGGGCACCCCGACCCCCACGTCTGAGCCAATTCTAAGGAGACCTTGCGCATCATGTGGGCGGCAGCCTGCCAGCCACGGGTGCCGATGTGCTTGTTGAAGGAGATGTTGAGGTGGGTGGCCGACTCGTAGTACTCGATCATGTCAAAGAGGGCTGAGGCACCCTGTGGACAGAGGGGGATGGGACGTGTGGTCACAACACAGAGGCCTAGAGACGAGGGGGTCCTGAGAAGTGAGGACAGAGACGGGGGCGTCCTGAGGAGTGAGCTGTGAGTGTAGACAGAGTCCTCCCTAGGGCACCTGGAACCACACCTGTGCCTGGACCCAGCACAATGCAGTGCTGGTGGATGTGCAGTGTGTGGTCACACCAGGACTCTACTGGCCCTCTCCCCCCAACTGAATCCCCCATTGCCCTCTAACCTTGGCTTTAACTTTGGGGAAGGTGAGAACACCAGAGCCTAAGTGGGAGGCTGCTTCCAGGATGTCTCCTCAGCTCTCCTGCAAGCCTTGGGGCCATAATCCACCCCCAGGCTCAGCTCAGTTTCCCCATTTATAAATGCGTCTACCTTCCTCTATCCACACAACACCTTTCTGTTCACAATGAATGTCCCCCGACTATGCCCGTCAAGGGGCTTTGCTCCTGCTCCAGTCCGGAGCCTTGCCCAAGGGGGTTCCTTCCACCTGAAGGAGCCCTCTCCTCCCCCACCTCCAGGGACCAGATGAGGGGCACACTGCTCACATCTTCGTCAAGGTTAGTTTGCTCCAGGTCCACAACCCTGAACTGCAGCCTCTTGAAGACCTCCTCCAGGGCCTCGCACGTCTTGTAGTCAAGCTTCTCACCTACATGAGAGTGTGTGTGACGCTGAGCAAGGGCGCCTGCACCAGTGCCTGGAGCTGGCTGAGCAGAAGCGCGGCCCCGGCTCCCACCGCCTGCCCTGGGCTTGCTGTCCTCTACGCAGGGCCCAGCCTTTGCCAGACACACACCTTTCAGGTCCAGACAGTCGATGCGGTGTCCAAGGTCCGTGAACTCCTAGGGGAAAAGACAGGAAGAATGAAGCCCACAGAGGCCCTGTTGGACTCCAGGTGGGGCAGCTGGGCTTCCACCCTGAGGTGGTGGCTATCTCTGAGGTGAGCAGGAATGGTCAGTATCGTGGAGTGTGAGCAGAGTGTGAGTGAGTGCCTGCTGTCACTCAGCCCAGAGCCCCTGCCTGGACCAGGAAGCACCCAGTCACTCCTGGCTCTGTTCCCCCACAGGTACCAGCTCCAGCTCTCTGGATTTCTCACAACATGAACCAAGAGGGCAGGTATTGCAATGAGCTCCAACAACAGATGAAAAGGTGAGGCTCAAGTCTGCTGTCTGGGCAGGGCTGGTCAGCTCCAGGCCTGTGCCCCTGGCCACACTAAGGCCTTCTGTCCCTGGCTCTGGTAGTGCTTCCTCCTGGACTCCCCCCTCTGGGAGAAAAGGTACAGAGATGGGTGGATATGGTTACCTGGAACATTCTAGAGGGACCAACATAGGCTAAAGCACTAAGGCAATGGAGAACAAGGTGTGGCAAGACCCTATTTGGATAAAACTGGGAAAACTCCCCCAGCTCTATGCACGCTGGTAATCAGCACACCCGATGGTGAGACACAGAAAAGCTGAGGGTCAAACCTACTTACAACTTTTGGGACTTCTGGGAGTGGGGCTGGGACAAGGAGGGCTGCCCACTATTACATGTCTGTGTTATTTTAACATAGGAAAACTCAAAGAATGTCTATTACTTTCATAATTAAGAAAGTCAGGGGTAGATATCTCTATGTGTGATTTCCCCCCTGTGGGGACACTTTGTAGGGGGTGACAGACACCGTAAATGTCTTACTTTAGACAGTTCTGTACTGCTTAGATATTTAAGAAGGATTGGTTGTTCTTTGAACTACTTTCTCTGGGGAAGAAAGATGCTGTGCTCTGTTCCCACAGAGACCACAGCTCTAGGGAGCGCTGTGCGGCCCTACCTTGTACTACGGCGCTGCTCTGAGCTGGGCTTCACTCAGCGGCTAGGGGCTGATGATACGATGAAGACCATCAAGTGTACTGAGGGGAAAAGATTTTCTAACCTGTTCTTACACAGGCTGCTTGGCGCCCCAACCCTTCACTCTGTCTGGGGGGCTGGGCTGGGTGTGTGTGGGTGTCCTGCAGCTGCCCCCCACCCCATTGCCCTGTAACCTCTACCTGGAGCTGCCGGAGGAGCTTGGGGATCTGCCTGCAGTTGAGCTTCTGGCAGGCCTGCTTGTAGGCGCCAACGACCTCATCCACGGTCACGTTCTGGGCTGTGGACAGAGGACCAGACTGTGACAACCAGACCCCTCAAGGGCCTCCACCGGAAGCCATGCCCCCTCCTTGCCCCCAGGTGCCTGCCAAGAGTCCCACCCAAGTGTTAATTATTTTTAAGGAAGCTTGCCTCTCCCCTTTCACTCTAGGTGAAAGTACTCCTCCCCCCTTTTCTGGCTCGTGGGGAGGTGGAGCTGGGATCCAGCACAGTCTCAAGAGCACCCTCATGTGGCCTCTCAGCAGCAGTGCATCATCAGGACTCCATCCTAGACCAGGGACCCCAGACACAGGGGCACAGACCGCAGCAGCAGCTGGGCCTGAGAAAAGCTCACAGTAATAATGGACAGAGGCTCACAGAATGAGTGAAGGGCTGTGCCCCAAACCAACAAGTTCTGGTCCCTGTGGGAGCAGGATGGCCCAGCCTGGAGGCAGAAAAAGCTTGCACAGGCTCCAGAGCAGGAAAGCTAGGCTGTCTGTTCATAGATCTGCCTCTTCTGGTGCTTCGTAAATGCACCCCAAAGTCCCAGAGAGCCTCCTGTTCACTAAGCGCAGGGGCTGCAGAGCATGTGTACGATGAACCCCAGTTGGATGGGGGTGGGGCTGGAGGAAAGGACCGGCCTGCAGCTTCTTCCCCTCTATTCCCCTTAGGACGGGCTTTCCCTAGGTGTTGCAACCTTAGTGGAGGTCTTGGTTTTGCAGTTAGAGTCCCCCCCACTGGCGTCAGCATGTTCACAAGCTGCACAGATGCAGTATCTGCACACCCCGTGCTGACTGAACCCAGCGGGCAGCGTTCTCTATGGAGCGCTTCTGCCAGCGCCTCCCGGTCTGAAGCGTCAGCAACGGGCTGTGGTTGCCACCAGAGTCTGTCTGTCTGATCCAGATTTCAAAGTAGAATAATAACCTTACTTTTAGTGGGGGGGGGGGCTAAGGGAGTAGCTGGGGGTCACCAGCTTCCCCAGGTGTCTGCTGGCCTCTTGCAGCCCCAGGGAGTCCAACCAAGGCTATGGGGTCTGGGCTTCAGGGACCCTGACTTTGAATGGGGGAAATGATCCCCACCCCCAGTGAAATTTAGCATGTCCTTCTCGTGAACTCGGGCACACAGGGAAGTGTCAGAAGATCCTGTGACCTTCACCAAGAGGAGTTTCACATCCCGTGATAGTTACTGCCCATGTTAACCACTCAACACCCGCTAAGTACAGCAAAGGTGAGCGGCCTGCACCCAGCAGCTGGTGGCAGGAGAGAGGAGGCCATCCGAGGGAGGATCTCTGTGGGCCGGAATCGACGGCAGCGGGTTTGCCTTTCTGGTTTATGTTGGGGCTGCCACCCATCCTGCTATTTCAGAAGCCAATTCTGACTGACAGGGACCCCACAGGCCAGAGCTGCCCCACCGGGCTCCCAGCTGGAATCTTTCTAAAAGCAGACTACTGTCCTATTTTTCTCCTGGATGGGGGTGGGGGAGGGACTGAAGGTTCTGGGCAGTCAATCTTTCTGTTAGCACCCCTGGTTTTTTAACTGCTGCAGCACCTGGTCACCTTGAGTCAACAGGCAACAATAGTCACTAACACCTTAAAACTATTATTACGCTGTCTTTCCACTGGTACCTAATGGGTCTTATGTTTTGCCTGAGGAGAGGCCCACAGGTTTACTGGCTGATCCAAGGGTGAGGACCTGGCCCTGGACAGACATTTCAGCAAAGGGCCCCTGGGCTCAGGCTGAGCTGGCCTTGTCACATGGAACAAGGCCAAAGTAGACAAGTACGCGTGGGCTGCCATCATCATCCCAAGTGGCACTAAGCAGGACTCATTTTAAGTTAAACATTCAAACTCAACAGCACCTTTGGGGCATTACTGTTAACGTCCTCTCTTACAGGAAGCCTTCCCTGACTGCCTGGGCTGGAGTGGGTGACCCTGTGGCTTCTCCACTGCAGCCTTGCCCACTTGGAGTCCTCACTGCCTAGGGACGGTCTTTCTCCCCCACTGCACAGTGTGAACCCCTGAGGGTGCCTGAGGTCTGTCACCCCCATGTCCCCAGTACTGCCAGCAGGGTCCGATACACAGTAGTTATCAAAGCACATTTGTTACCAGACGGCTGGACAGGTGGATGGAGGCTCTCCTCGACACTCGGGTGTTAGAAAAAGAGTAGGAGGGGGCAGGGGGGACAGTGTGCCCTGGTGGAAAATGTTGGAAAGCGTGATGAGGTGAACAGCTGAGCCAATGGTCAAGCAGCCACCGAAGCGCAATCTCAGGGCCACCGACATAGACAGTACTTGGGGGTGGGGGTGGGGTGCAATCCCTCCGGCTTGGATTGCATTTCTGATTGGCTCCATTTTAGGAGGAAACTGAGGCTGCCAATCACTCTGAGCACAGTGTGCCTGTGGGTGGCAGGGCTGGAGCTGTCTGGGTCACTGCACAGTGCCAGGCATTCCAGACCCTACAGGGACAGGACACCACCCACACCCAGTCCTAGCCCTCCCCCCCAGGAGAGCGCACCCTCAGCCGGTCCTAGCACCTCTGGGGGGTGGCTGCATCACCACCTCAGAGCTGGGCACTACCTGTGGAATGGAGGTGAGGTTTCCCAAATGGCCCCCTTACACATCCGGCCGGCACGGAGCTCTCTGCAAATCAGAAGTGGGGTTCCCTGAGTGGGGCCTTCTTGGGCACACTCCTCAGCAATGGAGCGGCCTGTAGAAGTTTGTGCATGAGTTTCAAATTATGCGATGCTAAAATGTACATTTTTTAAAAAAATAAATCACCATTTTAACACTTTTAATGTCACAACTGAGTGACAATAAGCCCATCACCACTGTGTAAGTGTTATCACTACCTGTTTTCCAAAAGTCTGACCCTTGGTGCACAAGCCCCTCCCAGCCCCAGAGCCTGGTACCACCGATCTACCAAGTGTCTGCTTATTCTAAATACTTGACACAAGTGGGAGCACAATATGCCTCCTTTTGTGTCTGACGTTTCATAAAACATTTTCCAGGTTCATCCCTGTCATGGCATGTGTCTGAGTTTCTCTTTACAGCTGACCGATATTCCTGGGCATTTACACACAGGCTGTGTCCTGTTACAATGTCAGGCGGATCGGACAACTCACACTCGCCTTTGAATGTTATATAAATCTGCCCTCGCTGTGAAACAATCCAATGAGCTCCTACTCGTACTCGCAACAAACTCTTCAGCACAATCACCTTCACTGGCTGCGTGTGCGGCTTTTAGCCCTTTCAAGACTTGTTTTCTGCTTTTTAAAAACTTGCTGAAGCATCTGTGTTCAAATAATGGAGAATATTTAGAATGACATTTTTAAGGGATTAATGTGGATTTTGAATGAAATCAGGTCACACACATCCAGAGGGCATCACTGGTGCTGGTGGGATGAAGCTGGTGTCTTGAGATCCACAGAGTTAGGCAGGTTCCCATCAGAGGGCAGCAGACATGAGTGTGGGGAGAAATTCCTCACAAAGCCCCAGTGTTTTGAGTCCTGTGTGCCCCAAGGCCACAATATGGTTAAATCAGTAAATTGAAACAAAAATAAAAACTGTGTGTACCTGTCCTGATTTACCTTCAGTAGTCACGAAAAGACACACTTAGGAACAGATTTCATTTCTAAACTGGGGACTGTTAATGCGCGCGCGCGCACATACACACACACACACACACACACACACTCTCTCTCTCTCTCTCTTCCCTTTCCGCTCACTCTCTTCTGTCTATTCATCTGATGATTACTGGATTGTTTTCACCTTCTGGTTTATTATGAACAGTTTTCTTATGGACACTTACATTCATGTATCTGTTAAGTGTTTCTGTCTTCAAGTTTCATACATAAACCCAAGAGCACGCTTGCTGGGTATCATGGCAATTCTATATTTAACTTTCCAAGAAATGGCTAAGCTGTTTTCACAGCATGATGTTATAATCCCACCAGTAATGGTATTTTTCAATCCCCTGCTATGCATCTGAGAGCTGAACAATGAATAAAGATGAAGGAAGAATTGACACCTTTGAGCTGCTGTGCTGGAGAATACCAAACATAAACCAAAAGAACAGACAGACATATGTCTTGGAGAAAGCGCAGCCAGAGTATTCCTCATCGCAGAGTCAAAGACAATGACGCTGAGTCATCTCACATACTTTTGGCATGTTGTTAAGACAGGCTATTTCTTGGACAGGGACATGAGGCTTAGTGGACGGTCAGTGAAAAAGAGGAATACCTCAACTCTGTGTCAATCCAAGAGCTTAATTGGTGGCCTTGGCAACAGGCTCAAGTATCTCAGAGATGATAAGGTTGGCACAGGACAGGATAGGAGAGGGTTCAGATGTGTTGTTTATAGGGTCATCAAGAGTCATACTTGATTCGAGGCCTCTTAATACAACAACCATCACCAATAAAGGGTGAGTGTTCCAGTCTCTCCACATCCCCATCTAACTTGTCAGTTTCTAGTACCAGGTAACAACTATCCTCATCAAGGTGACGCTGCATTAAAGACTAAGGCACACCTGATCCAAGCCAACACATTTCAATTGCTTCCATGCATCTGAAAGTTGCACAATGAGTAAGGAAGATCAAAGAATTGATGCCACTGAACCGTGGTGTTGGTCAAGTGTATTGAGTATCCCAGGGACTGTCAAAAGAACAAATAAATCTTTCCCGGAGGAAGTGCAACCAGGGTGCTCCTCAGAGGCAAGGAGCCTCTCACATATTTTGGGCATGCTGTCAGGAAGGGCCAGTCCTTAGAAAAAGTAATCATTCTGGGAAAGGTGGCAGAGTTGGAGAAATGAGAGGAAAGCCCTCCATGAGATGGACTGGCAGTGGCTGTGACGGCGAGCCTGAGCACCTCAGAGACGGTAAGGACGACACAGCACAGCACAAGGTTCAGATCACATGGTCCCTAGGAGTTCGCTGACGAGTAACAACTACTTGTGGGTGGAAGACAAATTGGATCCCTCTCTCACAGGTTTCAAAATCTATTTCATTCAATTAAATATAAATATAGATG